CCCAGCGGGTCTCCCAGCTGTACAGAGGATGGTGCTGCCATCCCTGGGCTCAGGGAGCACGTTACGTGCTTCATTCAGCCCATCTGGCTCTGCTCGAGAGGGTAGGGGCTCCTCTGGTTGCCCTTGCCCAGGCACTCGTCTGTCCTTGATCCTCTGCGAAACGGGTGCTGCAGCACCCTGTGCCATCACGGGGCAGCGTCAGCGGTCGGAGGGGCCACTTGGCTATCGGGGCAGCCGACCCAGCCCTGGACCTTTGCTGTCCCCTGATTTCAGAGATGCCTCCAGGGCATCCCCGAGGTCTCCCTGCCGCCCGCCTCCTCCCCAGCCCTGGCACCGCTGGAGGGGCCAGGCTGGAGCCTCCCCACGGGAAACACCAACTCAATACAAACCACAGCGGGTAAACATTAACGGGTGCGATTGCAGCAGGACTTCCGCTTTCCCAGGGGCTTTAACAGCGAAGAGGAGCAGTGCGAAGGCAGAGGGGAGGAGAGGACGCTGAGACACCCGGGGAAGCAGGAGTAGGGGCCAGAGCGGGACGCTGCAGCCAGGAGCAGCTATGGGGGATGCCTTCATCCGGCACATCGAGTTGCTGGGCTACGAGAAAAGGTTTTTCCCCAGCCAGCACTATGTGAGTACGCAGCGACCTTCCGACAAGCTGAGTAGTGAGGACTGGCCGGGGTGAAAAGCTTGGCCAGCAAATTTCTTTAGATAAAAGTGACCGAGGGCTTAAGAGCATCCTTTTTTGGGGCGGTCATGGCTGATGGCACGAGCTGGAGGCAGCCAGAGGCTAAAATGTCTTGAACGCACAAGGTTTTGGGCACCTCCTTTGCAAGCTGTTGGTTACTTCGCAGGCTTGGAAAGGGCTTTTCCGTCTTTGATTCGCACCCACCTGCATGTTTCTGTCGCCTCTCCATCCCTGCCGAGCTTCCCTAGCGCCCAGCTCACTCGCTGTCTGTGCAGAGCTACTCACATTGGGGTGGTGGAAGAAATACACGCAGTTTATCTGAAACAGAAACATCCAGGAGGTTCCCCGGGGCTTTGGCCACGGTTGGGTCGGGGTCCCGCTCGCCTGCAGAGCTGCAGTGCCTCTGCTTTGCCCCTCAGGTCTACATGTTCCTGGTGAAGTGGAACGACCTCTCCGAAAAGCTCGTCTACCGCCGGTTTACTGAGATATATGAGTTCCACGTGAGTCATCCCGGGGGTGGGGAAAAAAAGAGGAGGGAAAATTCCTGCGTAAATTGCAC